TACGCATACATAGATGTGTTCGGATCTTTCTTAATTAGATAATCCATAAATAAAAAAGGTCAAATTTTGGAGCGAAGTGAGCGTAGCATAGCTGGTTTGGTTTCTTGAGGTGGAACCATACCACCTGGAATCAAATTCTAGATTTAACATGGGTGCTCATATTTATGGCTAATTATAGATTTCATGTGGGTGCTTGTATTTACAGCTAATTCTTTCAGTGGTAGGTGCTCATAGGGGTAGGGTTTGCGCGTGTACGTTCATCACATAGTGATGAGTGTACATCCATTGTGAGTGTATGCGTTTGAACTGTGTTTCAATTATTTTTTTCAAATTTTGGAAGAGAGAGAGGTAATCCATAATTAATACGCGAAACTTTTATGAAATTGATCAGATTTTTACCAACACCATTTCTCTAAATTTGTCCATTTGAATTTATAGTAATGCTAAAAAATTACCCAAACTTCAATACTACCAAAATTATTTGTAGGGCACCAAATCAAGCATATTCCCAAATCAATCCTGCCTCCATCCAACTACGTTAGAGAAGCTAATTAATATGGTAAGTTATTCTAGCGTTTTCCACATTCATATTAATGTCAATGAATCTAAATAACATCAATATAAATATGGAAAATGGTAAAATGACTTACATTATCAAACGGAGGAAGTAGTAATATTTTACTGCTTGCCTGCATTATTCGGGGGAGCAGTTGTTGAAGTCTGCTAATTCAGGAAGTTGCCATGATACTTATCAGTATATGCGACCCGTATACATGCCACTCGCCAAACATGAAACATTCCTATTTATGTTGTCTGTGTTGCATTGACGCCGGCAGCAACGCGTCATATACTACAGAAAAAAAACATTAACGATATCATGACAACTCCTTTTTTGAAGACACTTTATTATATTTATTATATACTCACAGCAAGGACAGAGATTAGGGAAAGAAAGAATATTCCCCAGTACAGATTGATATGACAACTCACTGACAGGAAAATTCAGGGTGTGTGTTTAGTTCCTGAAAAAAAAATTAAAAGTTTGAAGAAAGTTAGAAGTTAAAAAAAAAAGTTGAAAGTTTATGTGTGTAGGAAAGATTTTAATATGATATAATGTGATGGAAAGTTAAAAATAGGAGGGAAACTAAACACGGCCTCAGTTCGGGTAGTGTAATATTTCACGTACCCAAACTCACCACATAAATACCCTTGGAAACGATCTAATTGAGCACACAGCAGCACCCAGTTCACCGCAGAGAGGTAGGCATTCTTCGATTCATCGTCGAGCTAGCGCTTCGATTAGTGTACGTAGTGCCTGTGTACTCCGATCCCATAGTGAATTAGTTTCCATTGAAAATGGCGATGCCATCCATCCGTGCCGCGCTGCTTTGCATGGCACCTGCCATCGCAGTCGTCCCGCTGTATGATAGGCTCCGCGATCGCGACCTCTTTCGTCCGTCGACGACCACTCCGGTCGCTGCCGCCGGAGATGCCAACCAAGCGGCGGAGACGAGGAATTACACAAACCATGCCAATCCCACATCAGTCCCACACCAACCGTTGATTATTAGGCTTTCAGACGAAGCTGCTTCTCCAAACCATGCCGATTATCCCACACCAATCATAATCATACTGGCTTCTGCAGTGCATCCCAATACGGGACCAAAACCAGAACAACCACCACAAGAACCAGACGAACGATACCCTCAACCTCAAGGCATAGGCTACTCTGCTCGTTGCAGATATCCACAGGGTAAGTGATATTGCTTCATTTTTCTCTCGGTAATGTTGTTATGTTAGATAGCTTATAAACACATATACTCCCTCCTTCCCTAAATGTTTAACGCCGTTGACTTTTTTAAACATGTTTGACCGTTCGTCTTATTCAAAAACTTTTGTGAAATGTATAAAACTATATGTATAAATAAAGGTATATTTAACAATAAATCAAATAATAGGAAAAGAATTAATAATTACTTAAATTTTCTGAATAAGACGAACGGTCAAACATTTTTAAAAAAAATCAATGGCGTCAAACATTTTGGGATGGAGGAAGTATATTACATGCATGCATGATGATCATGGAATAAGTTCCATGGAAGCAGTGCACAAGTCTGTTTGAATTTGAATATTAATAATTGGAGAGGTATATGCTAGGTGGGTAATGTTTTGACAATCATCGACAACAGAAGATAGGTGAGTGGTGAAATACTACATGAAAAATCTTATTCACGGTGCATTGGGATCATTTTGTAAGGTGACATGCATGCATAGTTTCGACAGACGTTTTCTAATTCAGAACCACCACAGGACTGAAGAAGCAAAACACCACTGGGCGCAGCAGAGGGAATAAATGTAATGTAAGACACAAGTCCATCCACTACAAAAGGTCGTGTGATCGATCTCACCAGGAGCCTACGCTTTCGATCTCTTTTGGTGTGTGTTTTTTACCCCCACAATGTATACATTTTGCAGGACGAATAATTTAGATCCGGTTGTTCTTAAATGTAATCAACCATGTACGAAGTGTAAAATGTACGCCCACCTAATGTGTGAATCGTAAACAATTTGATATGTTCCATTGTTAATTACTGCACGTTTCATGTGAATGCCAAATATAAATTATGGTATATGATCCAGCATAAAAATTAAAAAAAAACGTATAATGAAACAGGAAATAATTGATTGGTTACATGGAAATATATTCATAGGTGTTGGTCCAGAAAATCGACCAGGCTGGGCTTACTCGTGTTATATATGTTGATGTATAAAATATAAGGTTGTTTCATCACAGCTACGATTGATTGAGGCCCTTTTTGGATTGGAGGAATTTTTTAAGAAATTTTCTCAAATTAAACTAATTATCACAAAAATCATATATAATTCTTACATCTCAAAGGAGCCCTGTGCATTCTTACTAAAGCCGCCTAAAAGGTGAATCTTGAAATTCCTAATGAGCGATCAATCGCTGCTAGCGATCGTTTTTTTTTTCCTTTTTTAAGTAAGTTTATACACCTAAAGTTTACACATCTAAAGTTTATCCACCTAAAGTTTGTAAAGCGAATATTTATAAGTCAAAAGTTTATATAGCCGATTCAAATTCAAATATTTTATATTTTTCCTCTTTTAGTAAGTTTATACACCTAAACTTTACACATCTAAAGTTTATTCACCTAAAGTTTGTAAAGTGAATGTTTATAAGTCAAAAGTTTATATACCCGATTCAAATTCAAATTTGGATTCAAATATTTTATATATAAAATATTTCTATATATAAAGTTTGTGCGTGCAAAGTTTACGGTATAAAGTCTATGCACATGAATGAGAGTATTAGATTTTTTTCTTATTTTTTTACTAACTTTGTGGTTTTTTAAAAATTTTATGATGAAAGAAAAGAAGGGAGAGGAGTATAGGGGGGCGGGGTGGGTTGATAGCTCCTAGCGATCACCCGCCCGTTAGCCTCACCCGGTGAATCTTGTATTTGGGTGAGTCTAAGCTCTGACATGTACAATACCATTTCGAGCAACAGAATTTTCGGGGAGGGAATTGAATTTTATTTTATAAAAACCCTATAAAATATGTTTCAATGTAGCCTTGCAAGTTTCTCTTTCTACCTCGCCGACACTTAAGCGAGGCTAGGATTTGCAATCGTAGTTTCCTACCTTTTATAGCTATATATGGGATCCAACAACTATAAAAGATCATGCTCCGAGTTTCTAATTTAAGTTTTTTTTTAACAAAGGGAGTAGCATTTTGAGAATCATGGCCAAATAAATAAATTGTGGAAATGTATAATATTGCCCAAACCACTAAATGCTTGTGGTTAAGATTTGACTGGAGAGGGTACAGTCACACACTCACACTCACACTCACACATGCCTGATTGCTCATTTCCAGTCAAATCATTTTATTATTCATTAGGCTAAGAGTTTAACAATTCAAGATTTAGAGTCTGGGTCTAATAGAGCCTGGAGGTATCCGATCCGTTTTCCCTTGGCAATAGCCGATATGAGCTGAGGAAGTCCCATAAAAAGGAATAAGCTCACTTTAGATCCCTCAATTTATCTCCTGAGTTTAAAATTCGTCCCTAAACTAAAATAACATTTATAATTCATCTCCTAACTCGAAATATCGTGTTAATTTTGGCTAGCCAAAACGCCTCGCCAAACGGTGCCAAACGGTGGGCCTCACATGCTATTCCTTTGTGCAATTGTCGTCGCCGAGTCGTCATCACGAGCCGCCAGGCTCGTTGTTGCCATCCCCGCCCCGAGCTCCGCCGCCGCCCCCCCCCCTCCCCCCATCGTCCCGACAGTAGCGGAGTCCAGATGATGAGGGAGGTAGCTGCCGGTGGCGACCCGCAGCACCGGCAGGTTGGCGGATGTGGGTGACGGAGGGCCGCGTCCCTCGACCGCGGAAGGAGGAGAGCGTCGTAGCCAGCGGCAGGAGGCGGTGGTGGAGGGGTGCCGGTGTGCGGTGGGGTCGGAACAGATGTTGACGGCGACGAGGAGGAGCTCACGAGCCGGGACCGGGGACGCATCCTAGTGGCGATGGAGAAGGCCGGTGCGTAGGGTGGAGCAGATTCCGTCGACGATGAGGGAGTGGGAGACGCCGCCGCGCCGAGCGTCGTGGTTGAAGACGGGAAGGAAGGAAAGGGGAAAAGAAGAAAAGAGAAGGAAGAAGGGGGAGAGAGAAGAAAAAAAAATGAGTAGAGGCTAACACGTGGGTCTAGCCAAATCAAATGGAGAGTTGACTGTACGGGTATTTGGAGAGTCTAATTTAGATAGGCTGTTGAAGATTCTTCAAGTGAACTTATTCCTCAAGGCTGTGTTTAGTTCACGCCAAAATTAGAAGTTTGGTTGAAATTGAAAACGATGTGACGAAAAAGTTAAAAGTTTGTGTGTAGAAAAGTTTTGATGTAATGAAAAAGTTAGAAGTTTGAAGAAAAACTTTGAAACTAAACACGGCCTAAAAATAAAAAACGGCTTGGTTGTACATCAGCCCAGGACAGCGGCGCCTCTCCTGATCTCGGGCTCTCAGGCTCTCAGCTCACGCAGCCGCAGCGTTGTTGCTGCGATCTGCGGCGAGACAATGGCGGGGCGGCCACGGAGAGGGAGAGGCGGGTCAGGCGGCGGAGAAGCCCAGTGCTGGGGGCTTCCTCCACATAGACGGGTGCAGCGGGCGGCGAGCCGGCGAGGCCTCATCTGGCGCGCGGCATCGACCATCGAGGACTCCGAGAGTAGCAGGTACAATGATGTTTGCGTATTCCTCTCTGCTTTCCCATCTTGTTGTTTGAGCGGATTAATATTAGTCTCCGGACAGTGCGAGATCAATCCCTGTGGTCGCATTCTGTACTGATTAAGCGATTTTATTTTCGTGTCTAGATTCGAAGTTTAGTCCCCAAATCTGACCGGAATTCATCTTCTACAGACGACTTGCTTTGTCTAGATACCAACTGCAGCAGTAAATCGAGCTCTAACCGTGGTTGTAGGAATGTTCCTACTTGGAATAACTGAAGAAAAATAACAAGAAACGGTAATGCCCAAACGAATGCTACTTTCTGCAAATGTCACTAACCAAACTGGAGAAATGGGGAAAACATAAGGTGGTATTCATGTTACACTTTGTTGTTTTGATAAGGGAATTAATAATAATGTGTCCCGGCCAAGAGATGCACAAAGAAATCTTGTTATTACTTTTTGGAGTTGTGGGAATAAATTCTTGTACCTAAGTGCTACAAGTTTAAATTGTTTTTCGTGAAAGACCTAGAAGCAACTCATCCAGTTACATATATATGAAAAAAAAAACAATGAAATCAAAGTTTAATTGATCTGTAGACCATGTTGGAACTCAACAGCAGGGTACTGGATATCATGCCAGTACTTCAATGTTTTTTTCATTCACCATCTATCTTTGATAACTCATGCCTGATTCTAAGGATTTCACTACAAACATGGCCAATTTCACATCGGTCTTTGGGAGAAGTAACTGAGCAAGAGAGTCCTGTTCTCACCAATGGAATAACGCAATTCATCATTATTTCAGTTGCATCTATTTCATCTTGTAGCATGGTGGGATCAATTAAATTGTAGGAATTTTTGGCGAATTCTCCAGCAACAAGTTCATGCAGGCTTGTGCCATCACTAAAAATTTCATCCGTTGGGCTAATACCTGTTATCATTTCTAATAGAATCACTCCAAAACTATAAACATCGGCCTTTGTTGATATTTCTTTGCTCATGCCATATTCTGCATTTAGATTAAGAGATAAATAAAATTAGATCAGAATAGGCACAATATGTGCATGTGCACATGTCTGTGGGGGAAAAAGACTTAGAGAAAGAAGTCTTTGGGAAAAAAAAATTTACAAAAAGAAGGTATCTCACCTGGTGGGATGTATCCAACTGTTCCTTTAAGGCAACCCAAACTTGTTACACTCTCTTGATCCAAGTTTGATTTTGGGCATAGAAATCTTGCTGAACCGAAGTCACTGACATATGCAACCATGTCAAGATCCAAAAGAATATTGCTTGGCTTCAAGTCACAATGTATTAGTGGAGGTACACAATGGTTGTGAAGATAATCCAGAGCAAATGCTACCTCCAAGACTATATTGACTCTTTGGCTAAAAGTTAGGGCATTCCTTTGACTATGCTCATGTTTCTTTGGATGTAACCACATCTCTAGGTTCCCATTCTTCATGTATTCAAATACTAAGGCCTTAAAGTCTGCCCCTTCAGAATCCACTGAAGAGCATGAAGTGATGATTTTTATGATATTTCGATGGCGAACATTTCGTAGGGCTTCACACTCTGCAACAAAGCTCCTATTTGCTCCATATATGTTAAGGTTAAATATCTTGATGGCAACTTGATCTTGTCGGAATTCGAGATTGCCCTTGTAAACCATGCCAAATGATCCTGATCCAATCAAGTTGTCAGAAGAAAAACTTTTTGTAGCCTTCACAATGTCTTCATATGTAATCTGCTCCAGATGTTGATTGAATGGTAGCAATTGTGGCTTTAGTTTCATCCCCTTTCTCGAACGTGCCACTAGAACACAGCATAGTGTGATAGTAACAATAACAAACGGTATAGTTATCTTTAGTGTTAGAACCAACTTCTTGTGCATGCTTTCCCTGTCAGCCAAAGATGAACAAAAACGTATACCTTTTGTTGGAGCCCACGCACACAAACCATCATTTCCTTCGACGGATACCACACTAGCATTGCTGAACACACCCCCTATTGGAATTTCTCCATAGAAGTTGTTGAAGGATAAATTGAGATAGTATACAGAGCTAAAGGATGTGAGGAACTCAGGGATTTTTCCTGACAACTTGTTCTGAGAAATATCCATTATCTTGATGCCCACCAACTTTGCAAAAGATTGTGGAATGCTTCCTACAAGGAAGTTACTTTGCGTCTCAACAGATTCTAGAAGCACGCATTCGCCTAGAGTGGATGGAACTTCACCTGACAACCTATTGTTTGAGATGCTGAGTTTATTCAAATTAACGAGGTTGCCAACTTCCTCTGGAATACCTCCAGACAAGTAATTGTGTGACAAATCCAAAACAACAGAAAGAGAATAAATTTGAAAGATATTACTCGGTATGCTCCCATTTAATGAGTTGTAAGCAAGGTTGAGTGTTGTAAGTTGAGTGCACTGGCCTATGCTTGCAGGTATACTTCCACTAAAGTTGTTCCTATCTAGTCTCAGGTTAGTCAGTTGCAAAAGATTTCCAATAGCATCTGGGATCACTCCTGAGAGATAATTTTGTGTGAAATTTAGATCGACCAAGTTGTGTAAATTTTCAATTGTTGGTGGTATATTTCCAGTCAAAAGATTGCAATCCATGTACAACTTAGTGAGGCCCTTGAGATTACCAATCTCTGGTGGTATAGACCCAGAAATGTTGTTGCCGCCTAGCCACAACCACTGTAGATCACTAGAAAGATTTCCAATAGTATTTGGCAGGTTCCCTTGGATATTGTTCCCATCCAGCATCAGTCTAGTCAACCTAGAGCAATTAGTGAGTGAAGAGACAAAGCTCCATCCATCTGCCTCAAACATGTTGAATCCTAAATCAAGTTTCTGCAAATTTGGCAATGACCCTAACGGTGGAATGGACCCAGTTAGGCCACAGTTTGCCAGGTAAAAAGTCTGTAGATTTGATGCATTGAGAAGTGAAGCTGGGATTGAACCATCAAACTTGACATCTGACAAGTACAATTCCTGAATAGTTGGGAGAGTGTAGCCGATGTTGGAAGGAATTTTTCCAATGAGTGAGTTATTTGTCATGGCAAGGAATGTCAGAGAGGACATGTTGAAGAGAGATGGAGGTATTGACCCTGACAAATTGTTGCTATTCAAGGATATCACCTCAAGTGTTGCGACATGTCCTAAGCTCTCTGGAATGCTCCCGAGTAAAATGTTTCGTGAAAGACGAAGATAGATTAGCGAAGAAAGGTTTCCTAGTGAGGAAGGCATTGTTCCAATGAGATTGTTGTCAGATAAATCAAGATACTTGACTTGCGAAGACATGGCAGTAACAGGTGGTATAGTACCAACAAAGCTGTTCTGTTGGAGGCAAATGTCAGTAAGAGACGACGAGTTGAACAGATTAGTTGGGAGTTGTCCGCTAAGGGCATTTCTCATGAGCCTAAGCACTTGTAGAGATGAACTATTTACCAAGGACTCTGGGATTCTCCCTGTGAGAGCATTGTTTCCAAGGTCAACATATGTGAGTGATATGCTGCTTCCTAAAGACTCTGGTATTTCACCTGCAAGCCTGCTGTTGGCAAGGACTAGTTTTTGTAGCAAAGGTAAATCCCCAAAAGCAGAAGGGATGCTCCCTTGGAGATTGTTGTTGCTAAGGTCAAGAATTTTAAGCTGGGAACATGAAGAGAGCTCAGATGGGATGTTACCTTCCAAAGAGTTCGTGCTGAGGTTGAGGTAGCTCAGTTGGTTTAGGAGGCCAAGCTCAGATGGTATGCTTCCATGGAAGCTATTGTTTGACAGTTGCAACACTGTGAGAAAGGTGAGGTTGGCAATGCAAGGTGGTATGGAGCCTGTGATGCCTTGCGATGAGAGGTCCAGGGCGATCGCACGGCGAGGAGATTGGGAGCTGCAGGTGATGCCCTGCCAACTGCAGAACTCCATGGATGTGTTGCTCCATGAGGCCAAAGCTCTGGATGGAGCTGAGAGTTGGGACATAAAGCAAAGGAGAGCTTGTCGATCATCTTCGGTTCCACCGGTGAGGACCAGTGGAAGGAAGAAGAGGAATTTGAGGGGAAAAAGAAGCAGGCCATGGCCTGGGGACAAGACAATTTGGGAGGAAGCCATTGCTGCGAGCTGCAATTCAAAGCTGTGTAATTCAGGACAAGATGGAAGCTCTAATGATCCATGAGCACACGGCTTTATATTTCGGACAGCAACACCACAGTTCATTTGGTCCATTTGCTTGCTACCAGCCACTCCCTTCATAGTATTGCTTAATTAACTTAACGAAGTAGATGTCGAAAGCTTACCTACAGAATATTACTTAGTTGTACAATATGACGAAGGCAGATGAAAACACCTTAAAATAAGACTAACTATCTCAGCTGCAAATGAAATAGGTCTTACATTTGCATCGACAATAAAGCCCTGGGAAATATAATTTGACTAAGAGACTAATTTAAAGGATATATATTTTTTCTCCTGCATATGAGTTGGCCCTTTTCATAACCATTTCTTTGCTGTAATCAAGGAGTTTGATAATTTATTATACATTTTTTTAGCGTTCTCTGCTCCGTGAGATGTAAATAGCCAAATATTTTAGGGAAAAAAAACATTCTTAGATTGATCATGTCCTAAGTTACAGCTGTCTATTTTTATTTTATTAATACGTTGTAAACTATCAAAATTTGCTTCTTTATGTTGTCCATTGTCTTCGCCAATGTGTTAATGTATCAAATAATTTCAAGCTAGAGCACATAGTTGCGATGCGCTGACTTATGCAGTTTTCCACTTGCCATAAGCAAAAAATCAAGCTTAGATCATCTGCTGAGCAGGTTGACAGCGGTTTACTGTCAAAAAAAAAAGGAAAGGTACAGCGGTTTGCTGTCAAAAATAAAAGAAAGGTTGAGAACTTCTTTGGACATAGATACTAGAGAAAATTTCTAGTTGCCCTGCAGTATTTATCTAATCCTGTTCAGGCCCCTAAATTTTATTTCATATCCTACTCCTATTTGCCCTAAGATTTTGTTTTATCCCTTATATGATCTTGTGTTGATGTTAGTTTTTTTTTTCTTCCAAGAGTGGTTATTTACCCCACGCTCGGATGGATATGGTAAGCCTCTGCACCAAAATTCAAACTCTTTAAGCAATTTTTTGTTATATGAAATTTTTAGGATTTCTCAAATATCCAAAACTTTAAAATTCCAATATATTTCAAATCAAAATTATTTTTATGAGATTCAAGAAATTAGTGAAAACCATGCTTATTGAAACTTCAATTAAAATGAAAAAAATGTTTTTCCAATTCTGGGTGGAAAGACCTAAACTTTTAGTGGTTGGTCGTAATTTCTCTCCCTTCAAAATTGGTAGAAGTTTATTAAGAACTCTTTCTGTCTAACTAAAATAAAAAAAACTAAAAATTCTTTGTGATTTGTGTAAATTTCTCCCTTTGAAAATTTCATTGAAATTTGTTGTAGAATTTGCTGTTTATTTTAAATTTGGGTGAAATAATTCTTCCTCATCAATTTTCCTTTATTTTCATATTGACAATTAGTATGATTTTTTGAAGAAGCCAGCACTTATGGTGTAAGCAAGGGGCAATATAGTCATTTAAAATAAAACTACCAACAAACTCATGGAAAAACGGACTAGGGGCATGTAGTGAACTAGTGATCAGAATGAAACTTAACGACATTTAGGTGCCAAGGGCAATGATTAGCGAAAATTTAGGATATACAAGAAATTTTCTCTTCTTATTATGTTTCGACAGAGTAACCCAACCTAACCTATGGTCTATGGTCCAACCAAGTGTGCAAGTTTTGTTATACATCAGCATGCTTTCAACCATTTTTGTCTGTATCATACTTTTACACGGTTGGATTACTTATTTTACCAAAAACAGCTTGACTACATGCAAGTAGTTGATGATCTTATCAAATTTAGTTGTTCTTGTGTCTGTATCAACCCATCTATATATAATTGTTCTGAACCGTGCAATCTGACTCTTAAGAAATTTCGGCCAGTTTTCATCTGAATGGGACAGGAATGAAGTACACTCTCGAGGCATTTCTCCTTGATCACGGAAGGAGCACAACACTATCACCAAAGAGAACCCTGTCTGTGACTACTTTCCTCAAGTCGTCGGGTAGGTGGCTTGGGAACATTGCCTGGACAACTGATGATTAACGTAAGACTGAGATTTCTAGTCAAATGCAATCAAAGAAATTAAAGAGTAAAGTAAAGCCTCGTGAAACATTACCAGTATCAAATAAACGTCCTTAAAGACTTGAAAAGGAAAAGGCTTTGATTTTGGAGTAGTATAGATGTGAAGGCCTCTACTTTTTTTTCTCATCTTTCAGTGACTTTGAATTTAGCAATAAAAGAAGAGTTCTAGTCTATGTTCAGTTGTCCATTTTATTGTTATAAAATCTATATAAAACTGTCTTGATTTTACAGCTGCTTGAGGAGATACCACACCTTTTTGTAATGCTTTTGTGGTAGTATATCGCACTTATATGTATGCATGGTTATATATTCGCTACAATATTAATTTCAATATATACAGTTCAAATTAATTTAACGCATTCAGAAGTCACTAATTATTAGTAAACACTAAATGGCTAAGAGACAATATTTTAATTATTAGTAAACACTAAATGGCTAAGAGACAATATTTTTGGCTGGGTTTTCGTGTATTACTGTGTGGACTAGGCTATTATTTGAAAGTAGAGTATTGCAAGTGCTAATATTCAAAAAATACAAATAGCTTTCCTTGTGGCAGTGTAAATATATTATAATATGGACCTTCTATGATCATGGTTGTGTTATCCATTAACATGGAAAATCTAGACCTTAAAGATACCATGGAGGCTCATTACACATTCTTAAAGTCATAATAATTGAAGGCATTCTTCTTGAGACAAAGATTCATCATTTGTATAGCTTAAAAAAGCCTTACATGACTAAAATCAAGAATTTTATAGTCCATAGTCGCCTGTTGGAATCCCTTTTTTTTTTTTTAAAAAAAGTAGAGTACCAAAGGATGGAGGCGCGAAGCGTGAGATGGACGAGAGAACACACACGATCGGCACATAGCCTTCAAAGTCGTTTTTTTATTGGTAGACACCTGACTATTCTAGAGGATTGTGCAATAGTATTGCGGAATAATGAGCAGCTGGAACAACACATAGAAGTGTAGGGGCTGCTTCAACCAGGCGTACCCGTATCCATTGATTTATACAGCATACCGCGCGATTTGAGCGTAGTTCAACTCTTTGTGGTACCTGCCACACAGGTGCTCACATTTACGATTAATTATTCTTCCAGTGGTAGGCAGACGTACTTGATAGCGAGGCACTTATGGTGACTTCGTGAATTTGGAAATATGACAGCTCAATCTTTGGAGCTGCTCATAGATATAAGATGTGTGTACGTGTGTGCGCCTGCATCTGTACTGTGTTTTGAAATGTGCATACCATACAAATGGTATAATGATGGATCCAATACTAACTTTTCCTACCTACTCTCTCACCTCCTGACTGGAGAGGAAGAAGCATGTGAGAGGCTGGCCAGCGAGGTGGTGGTCGTGAGGATGCTGGTCGTCAGCTGGATAGGATGTTGACTGGCGAGGTGGAAGCTCTTGATGAGGAGGTTGGCCAGCAAGATGGCTACTTTTGAGGAGGCTAGATGGAGGATTGGAGGTGGAGATCTCCTAAGAGGACACCGGCTGGAAGTGCATTGGTAACTACATGCTAGCAGTGGTTGGCGAGTGGTTGCTCTGTGAGACAATGGAGCTACAACGTCTTGGGGGAGGGAACATTAACACAAGGCGAAAGCCTAGTCCGGTAATCATCGGGGCAACAACGACGACTCTTCTTGTGCCATAATCCCTCTTGGGGAAGTTGTTGAGGTGGCCAGCATCCCTTTCCCACGGGATCATTTAGGTGAAAATCTTGCCCAATAGTGTCCTTGCGTAGGCGGCGGTGGCGTTCTGGGTCATGGTCTCCTTGGAGGCGTCATCCTTAGAGGAGCTCCTACCTTTTTATCTTCAGGCTGTTTGTCCTCATCTGCTTTGGTTCTCCGTTTGTTTTGATGTTGGTAGGTGTGTGTGTGTGGGACGAGTGGATCTTTTTTCTCTCTCGCCCTCTCCCTCAGCAGCCCTTGCCGTATGATCGGGGAGTCCCAGGGACGGAGCTACAATGTGGTCCGTGTGGTCCACGGACCACCATAAAAATCTGGCCCAAGCCCATTACCCTTATGCGTTTCTTCACGAAAATAAATCGATGGCCGCCGCTTCGCTTCGTTTTCCGCCGCAAAGACTGCTTGGCTGCGTCTCTGTCGTTCCGCCTTCGGAGTTCCCATTTTTTTTATCACGCAACTCGGCCACCGAGGGGCGATAACGGCGGGCAGCAGGCGGCAACCGGCGATGGCAAGCTAGGCTGGAGCAGTTGCATCCAGCACCGGCAAGCAGCATGTTCTCATCTCCCCTCCATCCCTCGTTTCTCCCCTGTCTCTCCTGTTCCCCAAAGGCCGGAAGGCCCTAACCTAGGTGTGAGATTCAATTTCATTTCGATTTTAAGATTTCTGGTCATAATTGAAATGGTAAATCGGAACATTGCACAATCCTATTGTAGATTTATTGAACAATTAAGAGGAGTAGAGATATTGCATTTTCTTTTAGAAAATGTAGTGAAGAGGGATTCTACCTCTTCTCCATCTCCTTTTGTGTTGGGTAAATTTTATCTATAGTGTAAAAAAAATTATGTTGAGTTGGACCACCCTATCTACAAATCCTAGCTACGCCACTGGGGAGTCCACATGTACATGGATCAGCTAGCTAGCAAGGTCGACATTGGGTGGGGTGGTTGCGATGCTTCCGGTTGTCTTGTTTGGTGAGAGCCCATGCGTTCCATTTCAGCGGCCTGGCATGTTGGACGGTTGTGGCTCTGTTAGTGACGATCAGTCTACCATTACGACGGCTAGTTTGGTGCTAAGTTCCTTCTGCAACCTTGTGTGGTGGTGTTGTTGGCATGTGGCTAGCTTGTGGGTGTGATCACTGGCCAGCTGGACAAGTTTAGTGTTACTTAATTATTTCTTTTTTTTCCTATAATAGCCTATCAATTTTGTACGTAGTAATGTATTTTCACCTGCTATATCAATAGGAAATTCGTGTTGTGTAGTGTAGTGTTGTTCGTTCGAAAATGAGTCACAAAACTCTCTATTAACCTAGGAACAGTCTAGCTGAGCATAAGAAATGCAGTGGAAAACAATGAAAACGTGTGCCTCCTTTATTCTTCTTTTCCTACATTCCTTCAAACTTCGAAGTTTCAAAACATGCATTTGCTATCTGCCCACTAAATATTTTACTGTTTTCTTGGACAATCTAGGAGTAGGTTAAGTTGGTCAGTCTACCTTCGGAGGGTCAAGTAGTCGTCTAGAAGGTTAGCTCCTCGAGCGATACTGATCAGGAGTTGACTTGAGATCAGTTTTAGGCTGCGTCCGTGGGTTTTGTTTGAGACTTTGAGTTGGACTGACAACCGGGTTAGCTGTTTGGTAATTAACATAATTGATCCATCGCTGTTAATTACTTCAGCAGTAGAAAAGGAGGTACCGGATCTAAAATAATCCTCCCTCTCACATAGTATTTACTACTGTATTTAGTATAGTGAGAACTAGTTTAATTAGTTCTCTTCTAGCATATTTTACTTCTACCAAAATTTGTTGACAAGGTTGCCAAGCAAAACTGATCAAAATATGCACGCCCAAATTTAATTTGGTAATGCCAGATACGCTTATCTCGCACGGCTCAATTTAGCATCAAACCAAACAATTAATACTCCCTCCGTTTTTAAATATTTAACGCCGTTGACTTTTTAAAATAAGTTTGATCGTTTGTCTTATTTAAAAATTTAAGTAATTATTAATTCTTTTCCTATATTTGATTCATTGTTAAATATAAGTAGTTAAATATACTTATATGTATACAGATAATTTTATATATTTCACAAAAGTTTTTAAATAAGACGAACGGTTAAACATGTGCTAAAAATTCAACGATGTCAAATATTTAGAAACGGAGGGAGAACCATATACTCATCTTAATTTATCACACCGAAATTCTGGTAGTATGGGGGAAGCACGCCGGTAGTGTTGTGGTGAAGTTTATGGATGCATGCATGCTCCATGATTCAAATAATATTACGCACGTACGGGTGATCTTTTAACATGAATTTAGTGAGATCAAGGATATGCATAATCAAAAAAAAGAATTCTTATAGTGTAGGCAATCAAACCACTGCACACGTACCACCTCTAAAACCCATGTCCTTACCCAGTATATATTTTGTTCACGAATCAACCAGCGTCGCATTATTGCACCCGTGATACCGACGACATAAAACCACCAAAACAATTGACGCTCATCGACACTCACTGATCCATAAGATAATCCCCCATCCAATCCAGCCGCAGGAGCTGACGCCTACTACGCAGCCGTTTACCCAACCCCAGCTCATAACCCCCTGCAGATAAATACTGCTCGCTCTCTTGCAACGAAAGCGGCTGCACCCTGTGACAAGCAAACCATCAACACACATTTCACTCACATCCACCCATCGACGGACGACGTACGTGTGCTCTGCTTAATTGGGAGCTAGTAGAAGAGGCCGAGGTAAGTTGAATTTGCTGCAGAGGGGGAGAGATCAATCAATGGCGCTTGTCCCGTCGCTGGCCACCGTCCGCTACGCGCTGCTCGCGTTGCCGCCTCTCATGGTGGCCGCGTATGCCTATAACAGCGGGAATCGGGGAAACAGTGATACACGGGCTGCAAGAAGCATCAAAAAGTTTACCGGTGGTGGTCCAGCTACTGGCGCCGGCCCTGCAGGCCAGAAAGACGACAGTGCCTTGTGATGAAGAAGGCGGCCACAACGACAACGGCAGGCACGCATTGGAGACGGACGTACGACTGTAAGCTCTTCATGTGGCTTGTTGATAT